CCCAATGACAAATAAATTGATTTCGACACAGCTGTCCATTATCTAAAGCACTCCAATATCACGAATTTCTTCGTATCGTATTCGTTCGCCAAATAAATTAATAAATAAAATAAAAGTAATAATTTTAAGTAATTCGGTTTTTGATACTTCGATATCATATCATTTGTATTAAATTATATTTATCCTTCAAATCAGAAACTTTAAAAAAAAAAAACCATAATACACGCTCTATATTTGTATTGAAAAAAAAAATGAAAAGCAGATCGAATCGTGTATACAGGGTGATTGAAACAAACGACGTCGTGAACTGTTCCAATTCTACTATCCGTTTTATCTCTTCGTCACATTCGTTCGATTAATATTTACCTCGTAATTTCCCTGTTGCTCCATCTTGCACTCGACTCTTTTCTCGGCCTCCAGGATACGCTCGATCGGCATGTCCGAATGCAGGCTACTAGTGCTCTCCACCTCGCTCTGATCCCTTTCCTTGGTACGTTGACGTTCCTCTTGAACCGCCTCTCTCTTCATTCCCATCGCGAGACATTTCTGGTATCTGCAATACTGACATCGATTTCTCTGCCGTTTGTCAATGATGCAGGATTTCTCTTCGCGACACGCGTACGACAGATCCTTGCGCACGGTCCTCTTAAAGAATCCTTTGCAACCCTCGCAGCTGCAAAGGAAATTATTTTCTCGTCAGAATATTAAAATTGCTTCGAAGTTTATAATTTTTAATTTTTAATTTTTACGACTTTGAAGATACGTATATTCACTAATTTATTGTTGCTTTTATTTATATATCAAAGAGTTTTTTACTAGAGAGAATAATTCATTGGAATTATGAATACGAATAAATTATTCTTGTGAATCATTCTCACTCCATTAAAAAATATTGTTCATGTCATAAATCGTTAAAAAAATTTGGAAAAAGCTTCTTCGTAACTTTCTTAAGTTGCATCTCAAAAAATCTTGATCCAATTTTTTTAAATTTAGACTTTTCACAATTTAAACATTATTATAAGAGACAATTATTTTTCATCGTTTATATAAAAAATTATAAACAATTTAACACTTTCTTAACGTTAACTTAATTTATACGCGAGAAAATTTATCTTTTCAATTGCAACCGTATAAAATATATTCTTAGCGAAATTTCAGAAAAAGGATTCACGATTTCAACGATGAATCACCCAAGATCCAGACAACACCGAGTCGTATTTCGTAAAAAGAGTTCGAATACGTTGTCGTGTTTTATCCGACTCTTTCGCTTGATTCCACTTCGGCTAATCCAGGGATTGAATAAAATACCTAGGGGTTTACGATTCCTCTCGCGTAATCCCTCGTCTCTCTCTCTCTCTCTCTCTCTCTCTTTTTCTGTTTAAGAACAATGTATCCACCAGACAATCGAAAGTTGCACGCGTGCACGAATAATTCAATCAGATCAAAGTAATGGTGCGGATTGTTTAGACTTTTGGAAATTTGCGCGATCGTTACGATCAAATAATTTTGACTCAATATTTTAATCAGACTATATATTTCTGCGAAGAAAGGTAAATGTTTATGGATTTGAAATTTTAAGGAATATAAAAAACGGAATCATCAACGGGGGAAATTTATTATTACAAATGATATAATATTTCAAGATATTTTATTGTAATAAAATAAAAATAAATTCTTCATATTAAAATAAATTTTAATAATGCAAATTTGCAAAATATCGTCGACAAGTTCAAAAAAATTTACATTATTTATTCGTATTCGTTTCATTTGTCACGAATTATCTATAAATAATATATATATTTCGAAGAAACGTATCTATTTT